GAATATATAATTTCAAGTATTATCTCCTCACCACGGGCAACGCAGTAGCTGATCGCCTCTTATTTAATGACCGAAACCAGCGTCATTGTTACCAGATAAGCAGCATCACATTAAATATAAGCAACAATAAATGCGGGATGCACGACAGACGTGTCCATGAGGATAATGCAGTGAGTTTTGGTATTGGTGAAGTACTATGTGGTTCCAGAAAACCAACCCGAGTGTCTTTTCTAACACGCCCTCGGCTACACTGCATCTATCGGGCTTGTAAATATATCGGTTGAATTTTCGATGACTGGAAAAACGTTGCTTGGTAAGTTAATAAGCGTTGGCGGCAGGGTTTGAGAGTGATACAGACCCAACGAGACCACGGAAATATGCTGCACCGTGCAAGAATTGGTGGCAGCTCCATAATGGTGTGGGCTGCGTGAACTAGGTCCTCTGGTTCACGAATCATTGACTGAAAATAATTATGTTCAACTACTTGGAGGAAATGTACAGCCATTCATATACTTCATGTACACAAGCAACGATGAAATTTTCCGATGACAACGCGAAATGTCACTGAGCTTAAATCATTTGCGACTGATTGAGGAGCATTCCGGGAAATTCCAGCGGATGATTTGCCCACTTAGATCCCCAGACACTGAATCATATCATGAATTAAATTCTGCATTGACAGTGCGAGTGAATAATTTTTTCAGCAGACTTCCGACAAATTGTTGAGCCATGTCGAATTTCTGCATTTAGCAAACAAAAAAGGAGATTTCACACGATATTAGAAGTATCCCATGACTTCGCACTTCAGTGTATTAAACACAAAAATTAACATAGAATCCTCCACCACCATTTGTATCATGCTTTATATGTAACGCAATCGACCTACTACAATGCTCTAAGCATGCAAAGAATATTTAGAATTAACTTGTATTTCTATTAAAGATTCAATACGAAGGGGAAAAAAGAAAGTTAAAAATAATGAAACTACAACAACTATTAACATATAACGCAATATTGTTCATGGAAAATCTGCATAATTAAAAAAAAACAGAGCTTTCAGACATCGTTAAAGAATTTCGACAACATAAAATTATGTTTGAATTATAGAAATCAATGAATGCAAGCGAGAGAAAAAGATTGCATACTTTTTTTCCTTCAGAAAACGTTTTTTAGAAATAAAGAAATTTCGAAAAAAATTCCATTTTGAAATTGATGAAAAGACAACGAAAATAAACTAATATTGCAACTTTTATACAATTAAAGAAACAGAACTTCCTTATGCTGCTAAACTTTATAAAAGAAAAAAAAAGTTTAACATTCTTTCTCTCTCTTAAGCATCTCCTATCACCGAAACAAATCCAAAAATTTTTTTAAACCGTTATTCAATAGTTTTTTTTTGTCCAATAATTCACAATTTTTCAATACGAATTTACCCTTATTCTGCAAGCAAATCTTGTATAATATTAGTATTTCTTCAGGGGTTTTTCTTTTTCACATTTAGTGAACAAGAACTGAATTTTCTTGTAAAGTCTTGATAGCAAGAACAATAAAAGATTAAGCATTTTTCATTGGAAATCACTGAGTTAAAAAAAGGGATGTCATACGATTACCGATTTACTTATAAATAGCGCCTCACAAAATGTCTTTTGGTAAATGTTCGATATTTTTTACATTACAATACACTTACTTTTGTTTAGGTAAGCTGCAGCTAAGTGTCATGATTAATAGTTTTACGCTCAAAGAAATTTCGATTTTTTTTTGTAAGAAACTTTTGCAAGGTTTAAAATTAATTTGAGATATATATGGTCTTAACAAAATATTTACTCCAACTATATCTCCGGGGGAAGGGGAGGAGATTGTTATACTGCAAAAAATTTTTAATTCTTTCATTAACCTCCAAAAAATTGATGTATCAATAATTTTTTTCATATTATAATATCAGGTACAAATAACTAAAAAGAGACGGCAATGTAATTAATTCCACAAAATCTAAATCCTAGAAACTAAAACACATTAAAAAAATTATTCTTAACTATCTATATAAGGATGGATATCCAATCAAGTCTTTTAAAAGATGAAGTAATGTAAACTACCTTTTCGCTTAAAATATAATCAGAACAGAAAATTTTTAATACAACGGTATTAGAAAATAATTAACCATATACTCTTTTTATCAAAATAAAATACTTTGAATGAGTAAAAAAAAATTGAAAAGTAAAAAAATGCGTTTAAAAAAGTATTTTCAGAAATACATTTTGAATGCTGGTAATAACATTTATCTCTTCTTTCTTTTAAAGTATTAAAATGAATTTTTTAATGACATACTCATCTAGATTAAAAACAAACATGTAAATATTCCGAAGACATTATTTTTTCGTCTCAAATAAATTTAGTATGTTTGAGCACTGTTCAAATGAATTAATTTAAACAATAAAATTGTTATTACTCACTAATTAATTTTATTATTTATTTTAAATCACTTGTCATATATTTCCATTCTTTAAATGAAAGCATAAAATTTCTTACAATGTATTATTATTATTTAGATTATTTCAAAAATTCACTTTAAAAAAATCAATACATGCTATTAAATTTTAATGAAATTATGTAACTTACGAACACAATTGTTATTTGTTAATTCCTAAGTAATCGTACTAACAATAGAACATTTTTTGTGACATAAAGAGGTAAAAAGATTTTTAAAAATAAATAATTAGTTACAGATCTTAACTCTCTCTCTCTCAATAAATGTATTTATACACTTTGAAAGATATTAGATAATTCTCTCTATCAGAATGCAGCATACCTTAAACATATTCATCAGTTTTTAGATTTTTTAAATGTAACTAAGTACGGTTGTAAATGTTTTATTTCTAATTCATCATAAATGCCATTTAATCCAAACATTCGCAAAATTACGACTTACAGGCAAAAAAGTGACATTTGTGGTAAAAATTGTTGTTATTCTGTAGTGATTTTTATAAAAATCCCGTTTCTAATAATTCGAATAGGTTTTTAGAAATGAAATAAAAAATAAAGAAAAATACACAACAGTTCGCTTCGAAATGATTTAATTAATATAATTCACAAAATGTTCAAAAATTATCTAAAATATTCCTCAACACAGGAACCTTTTTTTAAAAAAATATCTAGAATGGGAACGATAATTTAAAGAGAAACACAACTACAATTAACTCGGATGTTGATATTTCAAGAAATATATTTCCTATGATGTAAAAAAAGTAAACCTGAAAAATTACAAAAAATCATTTAAATTTTTTAAATAGTGATTTTCAAAACACATAGATGTTTCTTTAGTTTGAGCAAGATTGAATTAATTAATTAAACAGCTTGTATATATATATAAGGCATTACCTCACCAGTTTACAAATTACACTGACAAGGGGAGAGGGCACGACTTCGAAAATTCATTTGGGGTCGAGATTTGGTGTAATAATAGTATTCCTTTAGGGTGCTCAACCCTCAATGTAATTCCGCCGAATGGCCAATCAATTCGAAGAAAATAGCCTTCGAAATTCATGCTTAGCTTTTATACAATTAAATTTCAATTTCCTCCAACGATTCTGTAGCCTGGTTGGTATATCATCTGCATATTATGCGCGAGGTTAGGGTTCGATTCATGGATCAACTTTTTTTTTTTCAAATTCATTTAATTTTTTAAAATTAAATAAATTTACTTATGAAAGGTTTATTTAATGTTAAATTATATTTTATGCAACTATTTATTATTTTAAAGAGTAAAGAAAGTTAAAATAATTAAAATAATAAATTTATTTATTATTAAAAGTATTTAAAATTATTAATTAAAATATTTAAATGTATTACTAATTAAAAAAAATTAAAATTATTAATTAAAATTATTTAAAACAATTATTCAGAATTATTATCAATAAAAATATTATTAATTTATAATTAAAATTATTAATTTATTATTAAAATTATTTAAAAAATTATTATTTATTAATACAATTATCAATTTATTATTAAATTCATTTAAAAAGGACTTACTGAATATTTTATAAAGTTATAAAATAATTAAATTAATAATACATAAAACAGACATTTTTTATTATAGTATATTGTATTTCACATTATAAGACTCTGTAATTAATTTTTATGTATAAAATCATTTAATATATTTATTATATATTTTATTATAAATATTACATATTAATATAAAAATATATTTATATAAAATTTAATATAAACACTTATATAATTACATAAAATATCATTTAATATTGAAAAAAATTTCATAAACAAATTTATTTAATTTTAAAAAATTAAATGAATTTGGAAAAAAAAGTTGATCGATGAATCGAACCCTAACCTCGCGCATAATATGCAGATGATATACCAACCAGGCTACAGAATCGTTGGAGGAAATTGAAATTTAATTGTATAAAAGCTAAGCATGAATTTCGAAGGCTATTTTCTTCGAATTGACTGCCCATTCGGCGGAATTACATTGAGGGTTGAGCACCCTAAAGGGGAGTACTACTATTACACCAAATCTCGACCTCAAATGAATTTTCTTAGTCGTGCCCTCCCCTTGTGAGATTTAAGATGGTTTATATATTTATTTTCTCTCTGAATTCGAATTTTTGAATTTTAAATCTAATTATAAAAGGCTACAGCACACGATTCATTTGTCTGTAACTATAACAGCTACATCTTAATTTTTATATAACAAGTAATATAAAAAAAATTAAGTCAATTCCTACTTGGGCCAACAAAGGAAGATTTTATTTTAGTTACTTTTTATTACATAGTTACAATTAAAATAAATCTGTAAATGCATCGGACAGAATCACAATATTAAGTGGCAATAGAAAACGATTTTTCTTGCAAATTTCAATTTTCTTTTCTATATACGGTGTTGGACTATTTTTGTTTGTTACTATTTATTCATTAATTAAATTTAATTATTCTAATAAAATAGTATAGTAAAAAAGAAATCCCATTCTCAGAAATTAGGCCATCCCAGGTGGAATTCGAAACCACGACCTTAGGATCATAAGTCCAACGCGTTATCCATTGCACTACAGGGATACAACGAACAATTTTCCTTTATATATATGGTGTTGGACTATTTTTTGTTTGTTACTAATTATTCATTTTTTTAAAAATTTAATTAATGAATAATTGTAATAACATCAAGTGCCATATAATACAAGTTTAAAAAAACGTATTTGAACTTTAATGGATGAAGGATGAATAGAAAGTATTTTATTAACGATTGAAAATTGTTAATTAACAGTAGGAATTAAAAAAGAGTATATAGTTAAATTATATTTAACTATCATAAGTTAGTTAATTCCTGACCTAAATATCAAAAATGAAATCTACAAAATAAAATTACACCCTAAGAAAAAAGTTCAAACACGTGCGTAAAAATTCGTTGATACTATCACTTCTTTTCGAAACTGGAAATGTGGAATAGACAAGAACAAAGATAAAACCGAAAAAAAAGAAGCTGCGTTCAATGACCAAACATAGTGGTTGAATTTCATTCACTACTTCAGCGATTCACTATCGTATTACGAATGCACAAACAAAACTCGTGAGAACTAGACTCCCGTCTGACTAACATTCAAAACGATTCTACAGCAACGGATTAATAAAGGATGGAATCAGGCCAGGTATCTGTTTCTTAGGATGGGGAGGGTAGCAACCGACAGCTGAGTATACACAATGCAGGGTGAATGCCATCCTGATTTCCACTTAGTAACTGTAATCTAACTCCAACCTTCCTTCAAAATGATACATTTTTAAGGAACAGAAGTTACTTGTTTTATTCGTTTGTGTGTGTGCAACATGTTTTAAAAATTCAGTTAACTTTCAATACTTAAAATTCAACATATAAGCTTTGAAAATGATTCTGTTTTAAATGTTTGTTTTAAAAGTGATATTTTTTAATAAGTACATGTATATAACATTAATGGAGTACATATATTGATATTCTAAAACCCAATTTAATTATAAAAGTTCATCCACAAGAGTAAAAAAATAATAAGTTTATGGATGGCTCAACGATTTCAAAATGTGGTACATTCCTTGAATTTTAGTAAGCTACTGGTGTTTCGCTAAATAGCAATGAAACATCAAAATAAAAGTTTAAGTTACCAAATGAGATTGAAATTATAGTTAAAAAAAATTCAATAACATTACAAAAATCAATACAAATAATTTTGACAGTGAAAACTACATAACATTATCTCAGTTTTTATTTAGAGGTGGCTTTTTATCTCTCTAATAAACCTACTTTTAATAACTTTCCAAAATATTAAACGAAAAATATAAATGGAATAAGACTGTTCACAACTGTTAACATGTCAGCAATAGTTTTTTCAGAGACACTTTAAAATTATTTAAATCCTTTATAGCAATAACAGATATTTCTCACGCAGAAACTGAAACTAATCTAACCTCAAGAAATACGGAAGGGAAGGGGGGGGATAGCTTGATACCAGTAGCACACAAAAATTTTTCAAGGGAGGGGGTCCAGGGTCGAAAGTCCACCATTTCGGTATTATGCTCCCATACACCTCCCAAGATATTCTTTTGATTTTGTCGATTTTCATTAACAAAAACAATACAAAATTAAGTATTGAATAAATAATTAGCATTAATTAATAAATAATAACAAATACATAATTAAATTTTACGTAATATATACATAGGATTATAACCAATCGAAAATAAAATCAAGGGCTATGGGGGGTGTCCGGACCCCTCGGACACCCTCCTTGTGTGCTCCACTGCTTCATACAGTGGCGTAACGAAGAATATTTGCCCTCCCTCCTACAAAGTCAGGTTTTGGGCCCCAAGCTTGACAAGACGTCAATCAAGCTTGGGACCCCCAAGAATCCTGCCTCCCCCCGCGATTCGAGGGTGTACGTTACGCCACTGGCTTGATATAAGACCCTGTGGGCCATCGAATTACTTTAATAAATTTAACTAGTGATATATATCAATATCAATTAAAAAACAGCAAAACAAGGTCGGTTGATTGAATATTAACGTCGCATTGTTCAGCTACACGAGGGCTTTTGGCGACGGACCACGTAATTTTGAACCATGGTCAAGTGACGTGGACGACACCTGAGCTGGCACCCCCTCTCCTAACTACCACACCACACCAACGGGAGGACGTTTCAACTCTCGACAGATTTAACGTGCATCGCTGCCCTACACGGCGGGTCTTTAGTGGTACTGGGCTCGAACCCGTGACAAAGCAAGCCACGGTCCGATACCTATACCACTCGGCTACCGCGGCCACGCAAAACAAGGTCGGAATAAAAGGGAGAAAATGCTTTAACATGAGTAATCTGCTTTCGGCGCAACAAGGGGAAAAGAGAATGCTTTAATATGACTCTTGTACAACAACGTTTAGTTCCTCACCCAACACTCCATTAATAACATAGTGAAGCTGCAATAGTAATGAATCTTAGAGCTATAATGTAGGCATAGCAACAAGCTGAAAATCATAACACAGAAAATATTTCCAACAACTTTGAAACAGTAAACCCATTGAACCAACATGAAACGAATTCGACCCAACTTTCACCTGGATGTGGTAGTTGATGAATTTTACCAACTGACGCGATGAAGTGCAGTTCTCAACCGAACAAACGGCCATGAATCACAACGCACACGCCCTTTCCACCTTTTGAGCATATCGTCACACGAGTTGCGGGTTTTACTCAGAAACTCGACTAGTTTGCCAACGAAGAAAAAACTGGTTGTTACGGGGACGCCATCTTTAAATACATCTAAGTATTTGCGTGCGAGCGCGAATTCGTTCTTTGTTTATTTGCTCATTTTTCTTTCGAATCAAGCTCGACTTTTCTTTCCTTGTTCAGTTGGTGGAAGGTCGTTGGACTGACATGCGATTTTTACTTCAAATTTTTTTTTTTATCTTTCGTTTCCATCGGGCTGCTGACTCGCCAGACTGCATGTCTTCTCCAATGAAGGCGCCCGTGAAAAAGATGCGCAACGAATTTTCTCGTCAAGAGAGGTGAAAGAAAAAACTTTCTCTCCGTCTGATACTCTTGCCCTTTAGACAAAGCTCCAAACTTTTTTGGCACGCGCGCGCGCGTTACCAAAGCATCACAGCTTTTCAGATTTAACTATAGGTTGTTGTTTTTTAAAGTTGGAATAAACATGGAAAAGAGTTCGTTAAAATTACGTTCTTGCAGCATAATTTCAATTTATAACGTAATAGATCCCTTATACGTCGAATGATATGATAGAATACATATTCGAAATCCGAATAAGAACTTTTGGTTTATAACTAATAGTTAATAAACTGGTAGGAAAGGGCAGGTTTCTTAACGTAGTACCGATAATAGTTATTGGTTAATTTGAGATTGATTTCTACGTAAAATTTCCGAGACAATAAAGATTACAAATCTTTCTGAATAACTTTTCAAAATTAACTAAAAAAAATTATTTATATATACAATAGATAATTTTACTCTTTTCACAAGTCTTTTCCAAGATCCGCAAGTTCATATTTAAAATTAATAATACACGAAACAAAATAAAACGATATATTTTACTATAAATTGAAAACACATCTAATGATGGAGTGAGTGAGTGAATATTAACGTCACACCGTTCAGCTACACGAGGGCTTTCGGCGACGGACCTCGTAATTTTGAATCATGGTCAAGTGACGAGGACGACACCTGAGCTGGCACCTTTCTCTCCTAACTACCGCACCACACTAACGGAAGGACGTTTGAGCTCTCGACAGATTTAACGTGCATCGCTCCAGTAGACGGTGGGTGGTCTTCGGCGGTTCAAGGCTCGAACTCATGACATGTAATGATGGAGTAATACGACACTAATGAATTAAAAACAATGAAATTAGATTAAGAAAAACTGTAATGGAGTCAGCAGAAATACAGAATATTTAGTTATAGGTAAAGGTATATTTTACAGGGGAAGAAAAAAACAACAATTGAAAGAATTGTACAGCTAAATTAACTCCAAAAATATAGCCTTAATTGTAACATTACCTACAAAAATTAATCAAAATAATGAAATGCATTTGTTTATTTTCTATGCAAAGAATTACGCATCATGCTCTCCTCAGAAAGAAATTCATGCTGCCAGCTCTTATCTGTTATTGTAGGATAACCAAAATGATTTTTCCTTTTCTTTCCTTAACTGTAAAAATTCTATGCACGGGTGAAAAAAGAAACATTGCCAAAAGGGACGGAAATGACATCTGGTTTGTCGTGATGACCATGGCTTCGCTATCATAAATGAGAATACTCCTCTAAGATCTTTTCCACCAGGTATGGAGAATGAGATCGGAGTTATAATTGTATAAACTGCTTTTTACGCATGATTGAATCAAAAAATTAAACATGAGCTCGAGACTTTTTAAGGATATTAATGTAGGTTATTGAAACAAGTACACGTAACTTTCTCTTTCACCTAACACAGATTGCAGCATACATATATAATCGAACCTCTATATAACGAGCCCCTATATTGCGAATTTTTCTATACAGCGAACTCTGTATAGCCAAGAATATTTCACGATTTTCTTCATAAAATAACCTCTTAATAGCGAAGTACATTATCTATATAGCGAACTTTTTCTCCAGTGATTCAATTTTTTTATCTCTATTTTTGAAGTATTTCTGAACATTTCGAGTTATACTCTCTTATAGCGCATTTTATGGTTGTCAAAAATCTTGAATAGGTTTTATTAGGTGCCTAACTCGCTGAGAGCAACATAATTCTGGGTATTTCATCCAAGAAGTGCAAACTCTAACCCTCATTGTCCAGTTCAGTGGAAACATCTTCGTTGTCCCCTTTCACCCTCAGTGGAGTCTCGTGTCCTTGAACTAGTCTCCGTTCATTTGTAGTATTGACCAGCCGTACTAGTAACTTAGTTTCTTGTAGCTCGAAAATGTCAAAACGTAAGTGTTTGAGCATCAAAGAAAAAAACAATTCTTCAGGAAGTGGATAAAAGCATTAAGAAACTTTTCTTGCAGTTTTTTTTGTTATAGGTTAGATTAGTGGCACCCATA